CTTCCTCTTTGTGCTCTTTCATCAGGTGTACTGTGGTTTCTGCCTCAGCCACACATTCTCTTACTGTCTGTCTATGATTGCACCAGTTTTGGTGCTGTATGATTTGGTCATCTCAAATGTATTTATCACTTCTCAAAGAGAGGAGACCCCCCCCCCCCCACACTGTCACTAAAACCACACACTGGCACTTGGCAATTATTATCTTGGTCATGATCACTTTCTCCACATCATTCTGAGCTCCAGCTAAAATCTTCCTAATGGAACCTACTTGAGACAAGTCACAGTTCCAAGATAAAATGGCCTGATAACCCACCTCAAAATAAAGAGGTACCAAGTCTACACCCCAATAAATATTGGCCAATTATTCACACATGGCCACGATTAGTAATATTATGTGAGTAACTGAGACGCAGCATGCTTAAGCCTATGGAATGAACTGTACAGGAAGTTCAAGGTTTTAAGAATGGCCATCAGTCCATGGAATTTATTTTATGTCTTGCACTCTTCCTTTCATATTTAACACAAAGATAGATAATTAAAAACATAAACTAGATGCAGTTAATTCCTAATTGGAAAAGCGACCAACCCCATCTGTAAATTCAGGAATGCTAGCAAAGAAAAGAGAAGCAATCAAAAGGGGCTGATAAGTCATTACCTGCTCAGTAGCCCAACCACCCAGTGTCATGCAAGTGATATCAAAAAGCTGCTCCTTTTGTCATCAAAGATTTTCATTGAACATACTGGGCATATCCAAATGATGCAGTCCCACATGGAAGGATTTTAACATTAAGCAAGGGTTCTGCATGTTCAAAAGACCAACCAGCTACAGCGTATGACCAGATACATGGTGAGCCATAGTCCTCCTTTCTATCAAACTTATAACCCTAGGGCAGAAAAACATTATTTTCTTTCCATCTCGTCGCTATATAAAACTAGTTAGTCAACAAAGTGATGGTAATGAAATGCTAGTTTATAGTTTTTATCATACTTCCGATCAATTGTAAAAATGAAATAATGAGAATCAGCAGGACAAGTAAAGCAACATACTGATTACTCGAATGAAAAGAAAACTAGAAAAGCCAAGAATAGAACTCACATCATCATGTGTATCCATCCATTTCCAGGAATAGAACTAACTGACCAAGCAAATGGAGATTCCAACTAGGAATCATGCATATATTGGCTTTCTTTAAGAACATAGAAAAAAGTGCAGCTTAAGAATATGAAGTTTTTGCAAACAGCAATCCATCGCACCTTCTTCTTCCAAACTATCAAATACTATATCCATAGCTGCTACAAGTTGTTCCATCTTTACCTGTGAGCTCTCATTCCTGGCATCAACCAGAGCAGCTCAGCTGCAGACATTATATCAGCATAAAAAATCCAGGAGCAAGAGCAGCAAGTTTTTGGGAGTAATAGAATGGTACAATATCAAGTTTTACCTTGTCTGGATAGATCTGATCACGAACTTTAACATCGAAAGTTTTTATCAATTCTAATTTGATGATCGAACCGACCAGGCCTTAACAATGTTTTGTCCAAAATATCAGGCATATTTATGTCAAGCAAGCACAAATCGTGGTTCTGTATCCATACATTTCCTCAAGCAACTGGTTTAGAGTACATTTTCCGTTCATCACAGCCTCCTCAAATGCTTTGTTATTTGTTTCCAAATTTAAAGCACAAACACAATTGTGGTTTACAGTACTTTCACGTTTTTAGTTTGCCTCATCAGCCAGCTATATCTTTAAAAACCACCTGGTTCAGCAAATAAAAATCAAAATGGTATTGAAGTGACGCCTTTATTTTCATTTTTCAGAGAAAAGAAATAATGAGCACAAAAGTAATCCAAAGAAAAATCAATCTCTACCCCTTACTAGCCGTGTCTCTATGTGTTCTTATCTATGCTTGTAACATTTGCTTTTCCCACATTAAATACTCTATGGCCACCTTATCTTCTAGGACCTCCAAAGCCACTCTTTTTTCTTTGGCCCAAAAACAGAAGGATAGCACATTCAAGGATGTTGGCGCAAAAACCTAATCAATTCATGATATCAATTCACTTCATCCACATAACTTAAGGAAACATAATTATGGGGATCTACTCCTAAGAAGTCTCGGGCTTCCTCCAGCTTCTCCTCAAAAGGTTCAAGACTCCCTGACTTCTTGGCTTAAATTTCTTCTGCAACTCGTAACACTAGTAGGACCATCTGTGGTATCAACATCGGTTTGTAATTCTTGTTTCTGTAAGCTTCTTACAAATGCTTTTGCAACTGAATTCTTGGAAATAACAAGTCTACCCCCCAAACCAGATTCAAGGAACTAGTTTTTAAACTCTTGAAAACAATATGAAGAATACATCAAACAGTTGCCAGGAAACTTCTAAAAAGCACAGATTGGAAAAACGCAAACACAATTACCATAAAAAGACACCAACTTCCAAGAAATCATCTTACGAATAATGCCATGTCTATCCCCATAGGTCCTTAGGAGACGCAATATTTGTGAATTTTCTGGGTGGTAAGTTCGTTTTTCGCTAGGTGTTTATAATGCATTAGCTCGCATTTGATCATGCCATAGACTGCTAACTCTCTTACAGGGTATATATACAAGGAACATACTGCAGTAAGAACAATTCAAAATTTCATGCTTTAAATTCCTTTTACAGAAATTTCACAAAGACTAATTGTAGGAAGTTGACTTTCAAGCATATATTGAGTTCTTAATGCCCATCTTTGCCCCCAACCTCAAAAAATAAATCCTGAATTTCCAAATGAGGCAAGAACTGAACAAGTTCTTAGATGGCACAGACAGATGTCGTAGAGACAATATTGAAGGAGAAACTCAGAAATTAGACCAGTCTGTTTTAAACGCATCAAATGACTAAAAGATTGTCTGATAAACAACTCAAACAGCTGTCGAGGACGAACTGGGGGGAGGAGCTAAAATTTCTTATCTGCCGCTCCTCATGGGTGAATATAAAATTCTAGTGAAAATAATACAGTAATTACATTCTGAAAAAGCTCATAAATTAATGGGAATTCCCCAGAGTCACCTGCAGAAGAATGCCCCTAAGAATCACAAAGAAATTTCAATCCTACAAGGATTCCAATGTCAATATAGAATAGAAATTACAAAGTATTAACACCACACCATAACTACGCACAGCGAAAAAGAAAGAGATTTGCATTGTCGATCAATGACCATGAGAACATCCTAAAACAGCAACATTCAAATAAATCGGTACCTTATTTATATGAACAATTACGACAAGTGCAAAAATTAACCCTACATTGCCAAGTTTTCCAAGTAGCTAACTGTTCATAACTAACTAAGTTGTTTCAACACACATGACTCCAGATTTATTTAGCAGATAAGAACGGAAAGACAATAAAAGTTGGATAAACAACCAAATAACGAACGTTCTGCTTTAGGCATTTCGCCTGAGAGGGAATATATCCAAAAACCAAGCACGTATTCAGGCTATAGCAAGCACATGAACAACAACATAATATATTTCAAGTTAAGCTTCACGAATTTGAGTACGACTGCAAAAGAAACCCCTCCTCCAACTACTAAAAGTTCACTTTGAACAACAATAATGATTATCGCACCAAAATCACAGTGTAAGATAACTTCAGCAGCCTCGGCTTCTCGTCTCTCTGCCTTTGGAATACTCATTTTTTTCACAACAGAGTCCTTGCATTACATTTACTGGATACGACATTCTTACACAATTTAACAGTGCACAGAATCAAAACTATGGGCAATGAAGAAAGAGATAAAAGAGGAGAAACGAAATTACTCTCTGCAATTAAGCACGGACAGCGCGAGGAAAAGAGCAACCGAGTCTCGAGAATTTCATTACAGCGAATTGCCTGGTCGGTGATGGGCGATCGGAGAAATGTTAGAAGAAAAATGGGGAAGAAAAAAAAAACATTTATTTACGGAATTACCCACTTTTGAGATATTTCATCCCTTTAACCAATTTTGATTAATCTTGAATTAGTGGAATTATGATAAGATTAAATGGAATTAATTTTATTAATAATTAGATTAATCACTTAATTTTCAAATCAAGAATAACTTTTAATTAACTTCGACACAAATAAACGGGAGAAAAATTAAAGAAAAGTACCGTAACGATAGAAAATTTGTTATTTCAGTCGAATCTATCGTAAACTCTCTCTTCTTGTGTTATAAATAAGATTTTGAAAATACGTATTAGTAATTTCTCTTTGGAACGTGATCACTCTAAAATTAAGAATATATATTATATTTATATTAAAGCTTCTTTTAAATCACGAGAGACATGTTTGATGATACTATAATATTGATTTTGAATAAATTTTTACTGTAAGAGATATTTTTTAGAAAAAAAAAAAATTAACGTTAGTTCAGAAGCAAGAGAAATCGTGAACTCTTATAAATCTTTGAAAAATCATGACCAATGAGTATGGTTTTGATTTTTCTCTTTTAAGTATAATACTTGGAACATAATAATACATACTTCTCGGTATGTTAAAACGAATCGCATGATATTAGATGTTTAAATAATGTAGATATCGTATGCCTGTAACTAGTTCTTTTTTTTCTTTTCTAATGTTCATTTAGTTAAATATCGTGATACGATCATGTATTTATATAGTATATGAGAAAAGTTTTCATTTTTCATTTTGTTTGGACGGTGATCTTTCTATCACATATATTTTTATAAGTAATGAATCTTTATAATAGTTTGATAGTGGATTAAATATCATGGTAGTTAGTAACATTAATCTATCGTTATTAAACATTAAGATGTCTTTGGTTAACACCTCGTGAAAAGTGTGCACTATCATGTGTTCTTATATACACGCACCATCACACAACCAGATGGCACATACGAGTTCTTTGCTAGCATGTGGTCAGGTTACCATTATACGAGTGTCATCTCTAATTTGCTAGTCATCATCTATTGCTAATAACACTCATATATCTTTTGATATATCAAAATTTTATTGAAAGATTAATAAATTTCTCTAGAGATTTATGTTTAAAGTACTACTATGTACTGATTGATAATAGTATTATATATATAAACAAAATATATATTATTGATAAATTGTTATTTATTTTACATATATATATATATAACAAGCAATAAGGTTTAAATATATAACACGTACAAATTCAGCTAATGGTGGTGTTAATGCATAAATAAAAATGTGAAGGAGCAGAATTAAAAGAGCAAGTAAGAGAAGAAGGTGAAATGGACGAGGAGGACGAGGACGAAGAAGAAGAAGAATAAGAAGAAGAAGTGGTATTGGAAGGGTGCCTTACAATTAAAGGCACCATATCTTCGAGCAGTCCAAGATTTTTTTGGCTTTCATCTTTGTATGCTTCGATCTGCGAGTTTAAGTGTATCTTCTTGAACTTCTTTGTGGGTACAGTTTTATCGGGCACCAAAGAAAATGGATACACAAAGTGTAAATGGAGACCTTCGTATGTAACAATCAGAGTGTCTGGCTCTTCATTCGACTTCTCCACTTGTTTTTTTGCACTGCACCTTGGGTTTGTACACTTGTAATAGCTCCTGATTGGCATTAACAGAAGACGTCAAATTAAAATAACATTTAAGAGTAGAGTAGTTTTCGTATCTCGTGATTTAAAATTTTTCGTATTCAATGTAAGTGTTTCCTTTTTATATTTTTAGTACTTATAATTCGATCAAGAGTAAGATACTACAACAAGTTATAATTGTCTTAAATGCTCAGTAAATATAATGTATACAAAGTAAGTTTGTAATAAGAACAAACCAAACACAAAACATAGAATTCGAATATACATCCTCGTAGCAAAGGATAGAACCACTACTAACCGATACATATATATATATATATGTGTGTGTGTGTAGTGTTTTCATGTGGGTAAGATGGTAAGGATGCTTGGTCCAATAATTTCTTCAAATTGAGATATAGCTAGGGAGATATTTACAAGTGTTATAGTTCTCTTTCAATAGTATTCAATGTTTGTGGGTGTAGTTGAGACCAATGAAATGGATTAGGACACTAAACGTTGAATAATTCATACTTGGATGGCTTATGTCTTTTCAGAAAATCAATGCATGCCTTATATTCAATGGAAAATATATACGTATAAAATATAATATATATATATATATATGTATGTATACCCTTTATTTTTATTTTCTTACCCTAATTGCATAAGAAAACTGTATTTTTTAAAATATATATATATATGTATAAGTAGTTTTTAGAATTTTTATGTTATTGAATTGAAAGATAGAAATATGAATATATATATATATATATTACCTAGGATTTGGGCTGTTCTTGATAGATTTCTGTCCATATTTTCTCCATTTATATCCATCATCAGCCATCCCATTTCCACAGCTCTTGATTTTTAAAGTGTACTTACTTTCACTCTGCCTGAATCCCCTACCCATTGCTGGAAATCTGCTAAAACACAAACTTATAATATCAAAACAGTATCCATACATACATATACATACATATATATATATGTATGTATGTATATATGGAGAAAGGAAGGAAGAAGGAAAAGTCGAAACTAACCTGCGAGAAGCTGTAAGCAACAAAGCATCTTGAACGTGCTGAATTGTTGGACCTGAATAGTTATATAAAGTTGATGAGATGAGATGAGAATTAGATTTAGATTTAGATTCGCCATGATTAATAACTCTGTGATCTTTCTCTACCACCATGAAAGGTGATTCATTGTCAAGAAGCTCATTCACCAGCTCCTCTCCCCCGTCAGAACAACTTCTCAGATTCTGATCTTCCTCCATTTCAACTCACCCCTCCTCTCATATACTATATATATATATATAATACATAATATTATATTATATATACTTATAATATATATCAATCAAGAAGACGAAGAAGAAGAAGAAGAAGAAGAAGAAGAGAGTGGAGCAGATGGAACCCAACAACAAGTTTATGTGGCCTTCTCACACTTTATATTAATAAACACTTTACTGTGCTATTGCTTTAGGGATAAGTTGTTTCGCTTTGACTTAACTTCTTCACAGTTTACTTTCCATCTAAGTCAACGTTTAATTCAATTTGCTGTACTACATACATATACGTACATACGTACATACATACATACATATATGTATAGGTCACAACCTTTGTAATTTTAAGTTTCTCTCTCATTAAAATTTACATTAATTAGTCTTCGTATTGTGTCAAATTTATATATTTTACGTATTTTAATCAAAAAAATTATATTATAATTAGTGCTTATGTATCAAATAATCAATAACATGTACGTATTCTTATTATAAAAAATATAATAATGTTTGAATTTGAATTGGGTTTGCTTATTTTTTTATTAAATTTATATATTTTACATATTTTTATTAAAAAATTATATTATAATTAATATGTAAGTATCAAATAATTAATAAAATATATGTACTTTTACTATAAAGAACGTAATAATATTTGAATTTGAGTCGGGTTTATATATTTTTTGTGTGTTTTTATTACGGGATTGTATTATAATACATACATGTATGTATGTATGTATGTATGTACGTATGTATTTATGAAAATTAGTTAGGAAAATAGATTGTGGTGTAATTAAAATTTGGTGTGACATTTGTCGATTTACATTGTTTTTGATGGGACGAGAATGGAAGCATCAAAGGTGGACCAAAGACAGAAAAGTCAGACTAAACATCCAAAGCAAGCAAAAAAAAAAAAAAAAAGTCAACTACTATATATATTTTTATTAAATTATTACGTGAGGCAGTTGAACATCACATTATTAAATACATAATATATACTTTATATATACATATATATATATAATTTTTAATTATGCATAATTAATTACTAATACCATGATTTTTTAATTAATTTATATATTGTGTAATTTGTAGATGCCATAAACTTTTCATATAAAATATTAATTATTAATTTTTTATTGGTACATGAATTTATTATTATTATTTTTATTTATTAATTAATTTTACTCATTTAATTAATTAATTAAAATTATTTTTTTAAATTATTAGAAAAAAATTAAATATTTTAAACGAATAAAATATATCAAGAACTAAATTGTAATAAAAAATATTACGAATCAAATTATAATAAATATTAAAATTAAAAAAATATAGTACCCACAAAATATACCATATGAAATTTAATATTATAAAGTAATACGAATTGTATCGAATTTATTGGTACATGAATTTATTATTATTATTTTTATTTATTAATTAATTTTACTCATTTAATTAATTAATTAAAAAAAAATTAGTACCCACAAAAGATACGATGTGAAATTCAATATTATAAAGTAATACGAATTATATCAAAGTAATATCTGACACGAAATAGTAATATACGACACGAAACGATACGGTACGGTACGAGAATATAAACGGATGAACTTTGTTATGGTATTTATTAACATACCACACTAACATGAGATTATACAAGTTTACTCTTGAGAACAACATAAACCATATAATCTCATAGCTATATAAAATGGTATGAATATAATATGTATACATATATATATATATATGTGTAAAAACCAAATCATACGATACATTAGACATGGTGGTGGGTATGTTCAAATTGGGGGCAATAATTTTGACCCATGTGCCAGAAATGGACAATCAATATTGAATCTCACGACCCAAACCACTACAGCCAGTAGATAGATACAGGTGATATATATACAAAATTTTATCTTCAGAGCGAGGAGATCTTGGAAGTATACGGCTTTGACTTTTTTAACACGAGGGAGAAAGTCCACGCTAGTTGACAAAATTTGATTTAAGCTTCACCTCAGCCGGAAGTGGGCGCAGGTTAACCTATTTCTTATTATTTTTTATTATTATAATTATTCGGGAAATTTCTTGATAAAAACAAAAAAAAAAAAGGGGGGGGGAAAAAGACAAAAGAAAAAGTCAACCCTTTATTGGCGCGGGCCTAATCTGCGAGTGGATGGTTCGACACGTGTGAATGGGAAGCTTGGTTGTACCTTTCGTTGAACGTCACGTGTGGGAAAATCTCTCTTGGGTAAAGCCATAACGCGATTATCAATTTCTTTGAAGTCCAAAAAGTAAAATGAAATTTTATATAAAATTCAAACGAAATTTGTACCTAATATGTCCGAGTGACTTTGGAGGTAATTCTTTTAATTCTTCGTAAATTTTTACAGCAACAACATAAGAATCAAAAAGGACAAACATATTAATACGTAAATAGGGGTCTCTAGCAATTTCCTTTCCAATTCTTATTTATTGTTAAATAAATTTTCGGGACAAGTAATCGAAAATACAATTCACA